TGGACATCCCGCGAACACATACGCGCGGATGGAGCACACCGCGGCCATACACGTGAACACGCGAGCCGCAGTGGCGACGTGACTGGCAGTGATGATCACGATCACGATCATGTTGACGTTGACGTTGATGTTGTTGATGTTGATGTTGATGTTGATGATGATGTTGATGATGACGACGTAGATGGCGTGATGACAACACCCCCAACGTCACCGCTGCTGCCGCCAGAGGTGCAGGAGTACGAGAGCAAGTTTGCGCTGAACGTTGGTAGGATCACGCTTGTTGTGTTCAAGACGAGCTTCAAGGACAGCACGTGGGCGGAGTTGGGGGCAGAGGACATTGCGCTGCTGTTCACGAGTATGGACGCGTGTGATGACGTCACCGGCGACAAAACGGCCTTGCAGGTGGGTTGTGCGTGTGTGTTTGAGTGTGTGTGTGTGTGTGTGTGTGTGTGTGTGTGTGTGTGTGTGTGTGTGTGTGTGTGTGTGTGTGTGTGTCGTGTCTCGGGCGTGTAGCGCACCCATCGCGGCTGGGAGAAGTGGTCCAACTGACACCGAAGTGACTGATACTTAAGAAACAGGTTCACTACGCGCCTCGTCCGATACGTGTAGAGCCTTCTTATGAGTTAAACGGAATTGTGGATGGTATATATAGACGGGGGCCGACTAAGGTGTCGGAGAGGTGTCGAACATAAGTACCATTCTAATCGACTGCTGACTAATAATCCACGGTGAAGGGAGCTTTAGGTATAAAGGGTTCCTCTAGTGTGCCCGTGATTCATTTTGTTTGTTTATGCTTGGGTGTGTGTGTGTGTGCGTGTGTGGGTATGTGTGTGTGTGTGTGTGGGTATGTGGGTGTGTGCGTGTATGGGATGTGTGTGTGTGTGTGTGTGTGTGTGTGTGTGTGTGTGATTTTTCTGCTGGACGCATCCGTGTCCACCTGACGCTGCTTCTCACGTTGACTTGTGCGCGTGTACACATCGACTTCGCAGAAACTGACGGTGAAGATTGGAATGGCTGAACCACGGACCTCTGGTGGCCATGGCGGTGATGTCGATGATGGTGATGACAGCGGTGGTGGTGGTGGTGGCGACAAGACTGCCGCCGCGTCGGCACGCAAGGCGCCCACCACCAAGATGAACACGGCCTGGGGCAGCAGCTCTCCTGCTGCTGATGGCGGTGGTGATGGTGACACGAGGCGTCGTGGCGGTGTTTCAGGTGGACGACTGGTGCTCGCACAGGTCTCGCGCACCGCAGCAAGCAAGGTATGCATGTGTGTTTGTACACGTTTGTTGTGTGTGTGTGATGCTTCGTGAATGTGTATGTGTTTGTGTGCGTACATCGTTTACCATGGCACACACACACACACACACATACACGGACCCACAAACACACACACACACACACACGGACTCACAAACACACACACACACGCACGGACTCACAAACACACACAACTGCTTCTGTGCCTCCCCTCCTCTCCTTTCTTTGTTGCCATCACAACTGTAGAGCAAGCGGGTGCCACCAACATCGGACGAGTGGATTTCGCACTTCAGCGACGACAAAAACAGGAGCCCAGCCATCATCCTCTCCCTGCCAAGGTGCGAGCCTGTGCATGTGCGTGTCTGTGTCTCTGTGCGTGTGTGTGTGTGTGTGTGTGTATGCGTGTGTGTGTGTGTGTGTGCGTGTGTGTGTGTGTGTGTGTGTGTGTGTCACTTTTGTTCGCTCCCACCACTCATCAACATCGTACTGCCACCTACACCATGACCGCCACTTAACACTCACACCACCACTGCTACCACCGCTGCCACCACTGCTAGGTCACGGGTTGCGTTTGTTGCAGACGTGGACTATTCCTCGCGCGTGGTGCAGACGTCGTTCCTCGCCGACCCGCCTGTGCTCGGGGTGTCGCTCAACGGGCAACACTATGTCTTCCTTCTCGAGGTGTATCGTGCCTGCAAGCAACGCATTATGCGGTGCACAGGTGCAGATGCACCCAAACCGCCTGCCGCTGATGCAGTCGCCTCCAAGCGCAGTGACACTGATGGTGGTGACCATGATGACGAGGAGGACGATGATGGCAGTGATGGAAGCAGACGCATTGGCAATGGTGGTGCTGGCGATGGTGGTGCAAAGAGCCAGCGGGCTGCAGAGTGGCAGTTTGTGTGTATGCGGCGGCCAGAGGCGGACGTCGAGCAACAGCAGAAGACGAAACCCAAGAAGAAGGACAGGTGTGTGTGTGTGTGTGTGTGTGTGTGTGTGTGTGTGTGTGTGTGTGTGTGTGTGTGTGTGTGTGTTTGGGGTTGAGGGAAGAAGGGGGGGGGGGCTTGCGCGCTGGCCTGACACGTGTCCTTGATGTTGGCATTGGCTCACACCTCCACCACGTTATATTTTCTCAGTTACTCACGATGCGTTGCACCTGTCAACACACACAAACAAACAAACAAACAAACAAACAAACAAACAAACAAACAAACAAACAAACAAACAAACAAACAAACAA